TTATTATCATCATCATTATTATCATTATCATCATCATTATCATCATCATCATCATTATTATCATCATCATCATCATTATTATTATCATTATTATCATCATCATCATCATCATTATTATTATCATTATTATTATCATCATCATCATCATCATCATTATTATTATCATCATTATTATTATCATCACCGTTATTATCATCACCATCATCATCATCATCATCATTATTATTATTATTATTACTATTATTATTATTATTATATCTTTTGATTTCTCTTATATACTCATTTCCTTCCGGGTCCCAACCAGAGATCTAAGATCAGAAATGGCATCAAGCCATTTTCCACTGAGCAGTTTATGCTAAAAAATAAATGATCACAGACATTTTACATAGATAAAGTCCTTCGAAAGATGTGTGTGCTTTACACTTAGAAACTTTGTTGTATTTCTTCAAGACATGGGCCACCAGAGGTCGCTTTCTAATCAATCCGAGGGCCTCAACTGGAATTGTTGATGTCTTCACCAGCCACATTTTGGAGATTTCGATTTAAATGTCCTTGTATATTTGTAGATCTTTGAAAATCTTCAAATATACTTTACAAAGAACATGTCAATAATAAGGCATATTCTGGTCTTGTGGTTTTTTGATCACGATGCCAGGGCGATTAGCTTTGATTGTTAGGCCTGTGTTTATTGTAAAGTCCCCTAAAATTGTTACAGGTCCTGTCTCCGTAGCCGGGTCTGGGTGATGTTCATACGAGATTATTGCAGATACTTTCCCGTAAAAGTTGCATATTTTCCAATGCAGATATTGGCGCACTCTACAATTACCGAATTTTATATTCAATGGTACAAGATGGTCAATTGTTTCTGGATATTTATCACAGAATCTGCAATTCAGGCTGACACAACTTTTCAACATGTATGCTTGGTAAGTTCTAGTTAGCAAGCATGTGTCCTGTGAAGGAAAAATAAAATCTTTGGTTTCAGCTTTTAATCCTCCACTATGTGATCATAATTATTATTATTATTATTATTATTATTATTATTATTATTATTTCCTTTGATTTCTGATGTGTACACATTTCCTTCCGGGTCCCGCCCAGACAGCTAAGGTGAAAAATGACATCATGAATTTTTTCCACTGACCAATTAAAAAAAAGGACAACAACACACATATTTTACATAGATAAATCCCTTCGTTATGTGTGGACTGTACTCGTGTGAACAATCTTTTGTATTTCTTTACGGCAGAGACTTCCAGGAATCACTTCAATGAATCTATTGGAATCTTTTCCAATCAATCCGGCGGTTCCAACTAGAACACGGATCGTTAATGTTCCCATGTGTCACATTTTTGAGATTTCGATTTCAAAGTCCTTGTATTTTGATAGCTTTTTTTTTTTTGTAGGGATTGTCATATCAATAAGGAAGCGTTTTCTTTTGTTTGCGGTCTCTAATAACAATGCCTGAGCGATTAGCTTTGGTTGTTTTGTCCGTGTCTGTCTGTGTGTATTGTGTAGTCTCGTAAAATTGTGACAGGTCCTATCTCCGTAACCGTGCCTGGATGGTGTTTCTTCTTCTTCTTCTTCTTCTTCTTATTATTATTATTATTATTATTATTATTATTTCCTTTGAATTTTGGAGCGTGCGGTCGCAACGCTGAGGTTGAATTTTTAAACTTTAAGATTGTGCGTTTTTGTACTATATATATATATATATATACATGAATTATTCACACAAAACTAATGCAAAGGTTAATGATTTTAAATGGCGAGACATCCATCTCGCAAACAATTCAAATATTACACAAAAACCTTAGATCCGTTATGAATGAATTGATCCTTGTTCATATAAATTTCTGCCGTATTAATTAACAAGGATCAATTCATTCATAACGGATCTAAGGTTTTTGTGTAATATTTGAATTGTTTGCGAGATGGATGTCTCGCCATTTAAAATCATTAACCTTTGCATTAGTTTTGTGTGAATAATTCATGTATTTGTAAATTGATTGCACGTTTATTGTAATATATATATATATATATATATATATATATATATATATTAACTGATTTAAAAATATGGTTCCATCGATAGACAGGAATTACCATGTATCAAAAAAGAAACTAACAACTTCAAATTCAATTATATAATAAATATCAACATCTCTATGTGTTATTCAATGCCGAAATCTAAATAGTTTGTACGTATTTTTAAGCTTTTAGAGTAAACATGTTTTCTTAAGATATATAGTTTATAGATTATAAAATATATTGTTGGTAATATATTTTACATGTACTCCTAGTAATTTCACTACAAAATTGTTGTATGCTTAAAGAGGTTACAAGCAGACAAAGGTGGTACTCGAGTTAAGGAACAGCAACACGCGCGTAGATAAAAGAAAGAGAGGTTTATTGTAAAAGAGAATACATTACTGAAAGACAGGAAATCGGGTGGCAGGCTAGTAATTCCCGAAGCAAGGATATCTACCAACCGTTCCACGTGGTCAGATGTTTTTATTTAGCGGCATATGAACACCTCTATGTTTTTTTGGCTTTTTTTTTTTTTTAATGCCGAAATCTAAATATTTTGTACGTAATTTTATGCTTTCAACTGCAGGAAACTATATGAATAACAGCTGGCAATACGAAAGGAGAATATGGAACTATTAGCTGATCGCAGACAAGACATGGTACCCAATAGAATAAGATTTGGATACATATCTGGCACAAACGGACACACACACACGCGCGCGCGCAGGGTAGAAATTTCACCTCAGTGTAACGACTGCAATCATTTTCTCAAAGTCAAATATATCTTGATTGAATATAAGAAGCACAAGAGATACATAGCTACTATTAGCAAGCTCAAATTTTTCACATGCTCTTCAAAAAAGTACCTTCTACCCAAATAAAAGGATATCTGAAGAAAATAAAATATATTCAACTACTACAGAAAACAAGAGCTTAGATTCTGAACCATATATCAACTATTGAACTATGCAACAATTGATATTTCGAAAACAATTTTAAAATCTTACAACTATTTCAAACGTTTTGAAAGCTTGAATAAATATCTACTTTCAGCATTAAATGACCCACAGATGTTGATATGCCGATAAAACAAATAAACAATCTATCAATTAATCAACTAGCAATATTTTATACATAACTAGCAGCATGGCCCGGCGTTGCCCGTGCTTGATTCAAAAATCGTACGACTCATACAGCAATCGCTATCACTTGACTTCAAATATGTTTGCCCTTCCTTGCCTTTAAAGGAGTGCCCTTTGTCGTGCTGATGTTGCTACATGCCTTACTTCTTGCCTATCTCACACTGCGAATTTTTTCTAAGCTCTATACTAAACATTAAATCTGTTACGAAAAAAGAACTAAACAAAATGAACACAAAACGATCAGCTTTAAAAAAGGACTCGTAACTGGAAAAACCGAATGAAAAAAGAATGTTAACAACAAATACTTTTTCACACCCAACCCAGTTCTGCGGAATCAGAATCAACGTTGAGTTTAAGCAAGCGAATGAGCTAATTGGAGTAAAGTGCCATGCAGATTTAAATTTTTCCTACTTGTGATGAATGCAGCTATCGATTTTTTTTTTTTTGCATGCTAGCATGCTAGTTAACATTCGTGTCAGTCAGCTGTTGGCTCTCACGCTGTCCAGTAGAATCTTCCTGCCTATTCGTGGCAGCCAGCTATTGGCTCTCACTCTGGCCAGTAGAAAATGGCCGCAAACTACATGGAAACTGCCGTAGAAGCATGAAAAAATCGATTATTTCCATTATCGATCGGAGTTGAGAAATGCAAAGTCGGTCTTGGCCTTTCTTTAACGTGGAGTATGTGCATGCAAATTTTGGTGCCAATCCTACGAAAATTGCGGCCGTGCATTCGTTACACACACACACACACACACATCCTGCCTTTTATAGATAGAGATTTTATAGTTTCAGGGTGTTGGTATGATTTTTTTTATACATCTAATATAATGTAGCGATCAAAAAATGTATTATTGGTATTTTAACATAAAAATGTATTTTAACATTCTTTTTGAATTGGTATTCGAACATTTAATGGATGTAAGCGTATACGGTTACCAAATTTTTCCCAGATCCTAAAAATATAAAGTTTACTTCTTTCTTTTTTTTTTTTAATCCGACTGACAATGCTTTTTTTTAATCCGACTGACAATGTTTTGCGAATATCATCGCTGTAATGTTGAAAGGTCACGTAAGCTTAGGGTAGGCTGGGCGAAATACCTTGAGCGCCGACAAAGGACTGAATACTAGGATAATGCGTGGAGCGAATTAGTGAAGCATA